TTAAGCTGTTTCTTACCTCCTTCTGGTACTGGCTTCCATTCTTTCCGGGGTTTCTTGCACTTATTGGCGAAGTGCCCTGGTTTTCCGCAGTTGTAACACTTCTTTTCCTTTTTGTCGTCTTTCTTGGTAGCGTCAAGCTCCATTCGTCCAGGGTTAAGAGTGTGACCATAGGCAATAGGTTCGTCACGCTTTCTGCGTTGATTGGCTTGGTAACTCTTTCCTTTGGTAGGGCTCCAGGTTCCTTTACCCTGTTTCTTCTGTATGCGTCGCTGATACTGTCTGTCATCGATTCGTACCGCCATAGCGATGTAGTCCGATAAGTTGTCTGGTCTGTTCTCTCTGTAGAGTTCATCTTTGACTTCTTCCTTAAGTCCCTTATAGAAGGCTGACATAAGAGGTTCGTCCTCCCAGTCAAGCTGAGATGCGAGTTGTCTGAAGCGAGCGGCATAATCGGATGCCGATCCTTTCTGCTTGAGCCCGTCGATGTAGTACTCAGCAGCTCTAGCTTCGTCAACTGTTCCAAAGGCTTTCTTGATGGCTTTTTCGAACTCATCGTAACTTTCGAAAATGGTGTTGGTTTCTCCTTCGCGGTCGTCTTTTTCTTTGTTAAGGTAGTCCCTCATAATGGGTTCAAACCATGCGAGTGCCACTCCCGTCATACATCCTCCTGCGTGAAGTACCTTGGCAGAGGATTCTTCCATTTTGTTCGGGAATTGTCGGTGGTAAGCCCTGAGTTGAGTGAGGAATCCTTGAAGCGCACCCGGGGATCCGTCGTACGGTCCTGGCGCCCTGGGTCTGAGGATTTCTCCCAAGTCCTTTTTAATTGTGGCAGCAGTCGTGGCTTGCTCCTGCCGTTCTTCCTCCATCTGTTGGACCCGTTCCCGGAGGCGTATGATCTCAGCAAGCATTTCGTGAGCCGAGATGGTTGTTGGTCCTTCTCGGGTTTCATTTGATCCAGATGCGGTGGTAGTCTCGCGTGGTGCCATATTGACAGTTATCAGGTATTGCTCAGAGTGACGCAGTAGTAGTCTGAACAAGAGCTTTCAACGTGTAACGGCTAAGGTTCC